GGCTGCGCCTGGCTGCTCCAGAGCGCCTCCCCCCCCGCTGGCCTTCCCCCATTCCAGAGGCGCAAAAGGTGATTTCCAGGGCTCTCTTCCTTCTGCTGCAGGTGGGAGCCAGGCCCGAGGTGCCCCCTGCCCACCTGGGGCTCTAAGCAAGGCCGCCTAAGAGCCGGGCCAGCCCAGGGCCCGCCTGTGAGCGCCCCAAAGCCCCTCGCGCAGGTGGAGGCAGAGCGGCAGGCCAGCTCCTGCATGGGAGCCCTGCAAAAGCCCAGCCTGCTCCCTGTCCTCACCCAGGCGGTCAGCTTGGGCCTCGGCTGCTCGGCCCTGGCTGCAAGGCACCCAGGCAAAGCAGCCGCCCGAGCCCCTGCCCCTAGGAACAGGCGAGGGAGGGGCAGAGCCCCGGAGGAGCCCTCCCCCCTTTCTCTGGGCAGCAGACTCTGGGGCAGTGTGTGGCCCCGGAGAGCCCCTCGTTGTAGTCCTGAATGGCAAGAGCCACTCCCAGGCTGCCCGTGTCCCCCTCGCCGCCTCCCAGGGGATCTGGACCTGGAGGCTGACGGTGGAGGGGGGGGCTTCCCCAGATGAAGCCTGGTGGTGCACCCTACCCACCTGAGGGAGGGGGGCAAAGCCCGTGGCCACTCCCCACATCCTCTTCATTGCTGCTCCTCTCTTTTGCCCCGCAGGGTCGCAGACGAACCTGAGAGAATCAGGGGACCTGCGCTCACAAGGTGAGTCCCGGCGGGGGGGGCGCCCCCTATCTGTGGGAAGGCTGGGTGGAAAGCTCGAAAGGCCAAAGGGGGGTGACGGAGAGCCGGGGGGGGCACTTCAGCTCCTTGGCTGCAGCAGGAAACCTTGGCAAGAGGAGCCAGCTGTATTGATTTTGTTCCCTCAGCTCAGTTGCAGAGTTCAGCTGGGGGGGGGGGCATGAGAGGAGGATTGTGCGGTGTAAGCGTGTGTGTCTGCAGCCCAGCTCAGTTTGGGGGGGGCGGAGGGGGCTGGCTTAACCTCTGCAAACTTGTCTGTGGTCTTCAGGGCTTCCTAACCTGTTATCTGGGTTCGTCCAATATCTACAGTCCGCTGAAGTTTATTTTTATTTATTTATATTGTGGCTTTATTATTTGTATGAGTAACTCAAGGCGGCAGACGTACCTAATCCTCTTTCGTCCTCCTCCTCCTCCGTTCCCCACAACAACAACAACCACCACCCCTGCCTGAAGCCGAGGTCAGAAACCCTGGCAAGGCTAAGCAGCCCCCCTTGGCATCTTGGCTGGGACGGGGTTATCGTGCAGGTGGCCGATCTCTGCCCACAGCCAGGCCGGGGTCCCCCTCCGCGGGCCTTTGCGGGCATCTGCCGCTTGTGCCCGCTTAGCAGGCTCCTGCTCCTCCTTCCCCCCGCAGTTGCAATTTACCTTGGCATCAAAAGGAAGCAGAACCCCGGCTGCTCCGATTTACCTGGAATGTGAAGCTGACCAGCACCCGCTCCGCCGAGGCCATCCTGGCCGCCCTCTGCCAGGCCACGGACTCTGCCAACTGCTGCCGCCGCCAGACGGAGCCCTTCGTCCTCTCCTGCACCCACGGGAAGAGCGCCAGCGAGCACTTCTGCTGCTTCGAGGTGGAGGTCTGCCGGCTGCAGCGGCTGGGGGGGCTGCACGGGGTGCTCTTCCGGCGCCAGGCCGGCACCTCCCTGGCCTTCCGCAGCCTGGTGGCCAAGATCACAGACCAGCTGCAACTCTAGGGCGGCCCGGCCTGCTCCGTGCATTGACTGAGCCCCAGGCTGGGGAGCCGTGCGGGGGAGGACGTGGCCCTGGGGCTCTCCCAGCTTTCCTCCAGGGCCCAGACGCTCCTCGGGCCAACCTCTGCTGCCAGGGGGACCCGCAGCTGCCGCCCTGGAAGGCACCTGCCAGCCTGTCAGTGGTGCTAGGAGGGGGACGGGGAGGGCAAGAGGGAGGGGAGAGAAAGGGGAGCTGGCAGGGAAGGGCGCCGGCCCCTCCTCCAGCCCCTAATTGGGTGGGGGAAAGGCTGGCCGGCCTTCCCTTTCCCGAGTCACATGGGGGAACTGCAGGCCAGACTCTGGTGTGCCCCGCTTCCTCCGTTGTACAAAGAGGACCCCTGCCCATCGTACTGTGCCCACCAGCCATGACCTTTTCACGCGCCACTTCATTGCCAACCAAACTCCAGGAGCCCAAACGCTTTCATTTCCCCAAATGGAGGGGGGGCGGTTTTGGGGTTGCCCATAGAGGGTCCTGCCTCCCTTTCCTGGGCACCCACAAAAGCTGGCCCCTGGCCCCAGCTCTACTCTGGCTGGAGAGCTGGCTCCCCCCCCAGGAATTCAAACCCCCCCAGGACAAAGGGGGCCAAATGTGATCAGCAGTGGGGGGAGGCAGCGAGAATAGAGCGCAGCTGAGCTGGGGTGGGTGCTGAACTGAGAGGGGCAAAGGCACTCTGGGTCTTTGCAGCGCCATGTCCAGCCTTGCCTTCTGTGGCAGCGACATTGGCACCCGACCGGGCGGGCAGCTGTGTGCTCAGGCAGTTTGGGCACCGGAGGCCCTCTTGCCCAAAGGCCTGCAGGCCAGAAGGCCCCGAGCAGCGGGCAGCCGGCGGGACCCTCACGTCTCCACGCAGACCTTGTGACTGGACTACGAACCAAATCTGAAGCTTGGAAGAAAATGGAGCTGGCGCCGAGACCCCACTCGGAGGGGGCTGGTCCTCCTGAGTGGGTTGAGGGGGCAGGATTCGGTCACCCCAACGGCTGCTGGCCATCTCGGGGGTGGGCACGAGTTGGCAATGCCGGCTGCCCAAGCAGCTCTGCTCGGGTGCAGCCGGAGGGCCGTGCTGGGTGGCGTGTTGGCACCTCTCCACCCTGAGCGTTTGGGCCCCAGCAGTGTGAAGGAGCTGCGGAGGGGGACTGGCACAGTGGGTGGCAGAGCTGCCAGGCCTGGGCTGGGGTGGAGCCGTTTGGCCAGGGGGAGATGGTGGGGCTTGGCGGACGGGCCTGGAGAGGGAGAGTTGGCCACTCCGGTGGGGAAAGCTGCAGTTCCCCCCTCCCCCCGTTTTCCCTCGTTTACTGGGTGCCCCTGCTGTGACTTCCCCCCTCCCCTCAAATCTGGCCTCTTGGGTGTCCCCCAATCTGTACAGACCCCTGTATATAATAGTCCCTTAGCCCCGTGTCACTGGGTAGAGATATTAAGTGCCACCTTTTCACCTCTGGACAATGTAAGTTATTCCGGCCCCCAATGACGGTCCATGCCCAACCCTCAATAAACGTAGAATCTCTCCTGGCTCCGTTTGGTCCCTGCGGAGCTGAGGGGGGGGGCTGGTTGCTGACAAGGTTCCAGGTGAGAGTCCTGCCAGGGACAGCCTTGGCGGCTGCTGAGTATGGGAGGCACGGCTGCCAAAGCCTCTCAGTGGGCATCGGGGACCCTTCCAAGGGCAGCCCTGCTCACTCGGTCAGAGCAGCCCCCTGCTCTTGGGAGACCCCCGAACTGCTCATAAAGGTAGACTGTTGCTGTGAGTGGATGCTCAATCATCCTGGCAGAGCTGCTCCAGGAGCGTGGGCTCCGGTCCCTCCTAAGAAAGGCCACTTCTCCACCTAGGAGCCAGCGTTCCCCTCTGCCCACCCAGAGGCTGTGCTGTGCCCGGCCTTGATTTGGAGGTGAGGAAGGGGGGACCTGAGTGGCGGGTGGAGAGTTCAAAGGGTGCCACTCCTGGGAAACGCAAGAGACTTGGGTGACCCTGGAATACCTCAACGGCTGCTTTCCCCTGGCCGGCCTCGGGTTCAAGGGCTGAAAGGCAAGAGGGGAGACCCCACTGCTCTGAACTGCCCCCTCCCTCGGCCATTTCACTCCCTCCCCGCCCCAACCATAGGAGAAGAAAGGCACAGGGGTCATCTTGGGGGGGAGACAAGGCTCTGGGGCCGATCTTTATTAACTCCATCCGCCATGGCTCTGATGAGAGCTTCCCAGCTGGCAAAGGGCAGCGGCCCCCCGGCCCCCCCTCGCAAGGGAGAACAGAGCGCCAGGAGCTGCCGCCACGAGTGGCAGGGTTGGGGTCACCACGGAGTCCAGGCCCCAGGCCGCCCGGGGTCAGCAGGAGGCCCCTCACTTCTGGGCAGGGATCATGTCGTCGATGGCCTGGCCTTTCTCCAGCTTCTTCTCCATCTCCACCATGAGCTTCACGCCATCCACCACCAGTTGCACCTGCTCCACCTCGGAGGAGCCCAGCCGGTCCGCGTTGGAGATGTCAAACACGGCGCCCACGGCCTCCGTGTCCACGCCACCTGGGGGGGGAGGAGCACAGCGGCCACTCAGTAGGCTGACCCCCAGCAGAGGGCACACCCTCCGGCTCCCCCAAGCATGCCGCCAGACGGACCCAGTGGCTGGACACGGAGTGGATCCGCCCGGCCAGGGACCTGCCCAGGGACAGGATTCACACCAGCTGCCCAGCACGGGGGGGGGGGGCAAAGGCCAGCGGTTTTTATCCTTGGGGGGGGAATGCCGCCGAGAAGCTGCCTTTGGAGCTGACCTGACGACCGAAACAAAAACGCTAGAAGGAAGGGGGGCTGCAGGAGCTCTTGGGAAGAAGCAAATTCACCCCAGGGTGAAATGGGGAGGGGGGTTTCAATGTGCTGCAGAGCACCCGTCCCCTTTGGTGGCATCTTTCTTGCTTATTTGAAGCTCCGGATGGTGAGGGGGAGGAGTGGTGAGCCGCACCTTTGCCCAATTCAAGCTGGCATCCCTGCTCTGGGCCCCCTCCCCCACCTCTGTCCCCCCCCCTGACCTGTGCCACGTTTCTGCAGACGGAGGCGCTTCAGGATCTCCTCAAACTTGGGGTGCTTGCTGAGATGGGCCAGCTTGACGTGGACACCGCCACGCAGGCCGGTGCCCAGGTTGGAGGGGCAGGTCAGGATGTAGCCCAGGTGCTCGTTCCAGCTGAAGGGGTGGCCGGCCTGCTTGAAGATCTCCTCAATCTTACCGGGGGGGGGGACCAGAGATTGGCAGAGGTTAGTGGCAAAGCAAGCGATGCCCACGTTGCTTTTTGTGCCTCACCCTCCTCCAAAAGGCCGTTCCTCCCTCTGAGGGTCTTTATGCCATTGGCATGGTAGAGAAGCCCAGTCATAGCACCTCCATCCCCACCACTTTGGGGTCACCACAGAGCCACCAGGACGCTGCTCAGCTGCCCAGCCATCGTGGCCTGTCCAGGATCCCGGGGTGCCCTCTCCTGCCCTACTCCCACCCCTTGGAGCAAGCCAGGAGCCCCCACCCCCCCATCCCAGCTGACCAGCCTCACCTTCTGCAGCCCCACGCAGAAGCGACGGAAGACTTCCTTCATGTTGCCCCCCTTCTGCATGGAGATGACTCGGAGGTGGTCCTCCTCGTTCACCCACACCAGGAAGGTCTTGTTGTCATTGTGCCTGGGGGGGGGAGAGCAGGGACCTCAGCACCCCCCACCTGCTGGCCTTCAGGCTCAATCACCATGGGGGGGGCACAAAGGGGCATCGAGGCAGCCTCCCTGCCTCCTCGGCTACCCAACTTGCCAAGGCAGCCTTGCACAGCTCTTGTTTGGGGCAGGGGCAGATTGGGGGGGGGCAAATTCAGGAACTGGGTGTGCAAAGTGGGGGCAGCCGGAGCATCTTTGGGCCACGGGAGGGAGGGGGCTGCCCCTCCCAAGATTTGGAGTGCCCTTCCCACGTGGGGAGGGTGCCAAGTGGGCAGCCCGGGGCTCGCCAGGCCTGCTCACCAGATGCCTCGGGCGTCGGGCCAGTCGCGGGCCATGCCGGAAGCCAGCAGCAGGGGGGAGATGGGCTTGTCGAAGAGGAAGTGGTCATCAATCAGCTGCTGCTGTTCTGCGTCGGTCATGTTCTTGAGGGGGTAGTACTTGCCCTTGAACTCTCCGCTCAAGCTGTTCAGGGCTGGGGAGGGGGACACAGCAGGACCACCCTTAGCAAAGGCCGCTGCGTCCTTCCCCTCCCTCTTTATCCTCCCAACAAGGCTGGGGGGGGGCTTCTCAAGAGCCCCACATCTAAGGATGCTGAAATCCATATTTCCCTCCATCCTCAAACCGGATGATCAGGGTTATCCTTGGCACCTCCTCAGTTTCCACCCCAAACCTTGGGACCTTCTGGCCCCTGACCGAGACCTCTGTTACTGGGACATGTTCCTGATGGGGACCCGAAAGGGGTACCCCAAACCTGCCCCTAAAGGAGCAGTGGGGCTGGGCAAGCCCTGGGTAGGGCTAGTGCCACCTGGTGGACCAGTGGGGGGCCCTCCTGGCCGCTGCATTCAGCCAGCCAAGGGGGGCTGGTCGGGGTTCACTTGGTCTGGCGGGGTGCAGTTGTGTGAACCCAGCCAAAGAGGGCAACTCCGCTCCTCCAAAGTTTGTGAAGAGACCCCCAATTTTGGACAAGCGGCTCCCCCACCATTCTTCCCCTCTTACCTTTGATGGACAGATTCTCCACGGCCCGGCGCTCAGCCCGGCTGCAGTGGGGAGGCAGGGTGTAGCCCTTGATGCTACGGCCGGTCCGCACGCGGCTGCTGAGCACGTAGTTGGGGTCCAGATCATCACCGCCCTGCAGGGAAGGAGAGCCGTGGGTCCTCTCTCTGCCCAGGCTGACC